ACGTTACAAATTATATTTGACTAAGTGTAGTACACTTCTTAAGGTTCTACAGGTTAAGCGCAGTCACATGCACAATGTGATTTCACAGATAATAGTACAAAGCAGGTAACAGAATTACTGTAAATACCCCAAGATCGAAAACCCGCTGTTAGATAAATATACATTGCCAATCGTAACACTGCAACAAAAAATGAATGAACCAACATAAATGTTCTCCTAAGTTTAAAATACAAAACATGGTATAAATGTTTAAACTTGCTGTTATTCTGTGAAATTAGTGTGAAGAACAAACTCTTTTATCAGCGCTGTCAATGTTACCTAAACTGCGTTTTCATAAGACATCCAGCAACAGAATACATAGCTTATACCGTTCTTATTATGGCATTTGCAATCACCCAGTTTATTAAAAAATATGCCAGCGTTCCTAAACATTCGCAGGTCGCGTCCAAACGATCGTAACTGTGACTTCTTACTCTGGAGAAGCAGCGACTGCACACCAAGGCTCCCTCATACATGCACTCATGGCCATATCGTGACCTGTGAGCCTGTGAAAGTACATTACAACCGGCTGAATCCGGAATCAAACTCTTTCAGTCATGGCTCATGAACACTGGGATGAAGACTGACTTGAACAAAGTGAACTCAGCCTTCAAGCTCAACTCTGCTTTAGTAACGGCGGTTCGAGCAGAACCCCACAGGCCATTCCAAATCGCCAGCCGCCCTCTTCCGCGCCCAATTCCCATCACCACGAAATACGTGAACTTCACAATCTGTTCCCCCCAATGTTCCACTTATCTGCACACAGCAGAGGGCAGGGGAACAAGAAAACAGGATTTTTATTTTTTACACGTTCACACGTATGCCGGTCAGATCGCCGTAGGTTGCGAACCCTTAAAGCGAGCGCTGGAGCTCAGTTTTAATAAATACCAATGAAACAACGTCGCCAGTAAACAGCAACCTTCTCGTCTCTACATCTCCTACACCGCTACACTCATCGTCTGGCTGCGCCTACCCATTCTATCAATGGACTACACAAGCAGGAGAGAGGCAAGCCTCGGCGGATGCCAATGCCAACGCTGAAAGGTCTCGATTTAACATAGTTTGTTCTGACGCTGCATCTGCCCTTAACATATGGTGAAAGGATGGTCCGTAGCAATTGGCCATCGATCCTATATGTTCGCAGGCGCGCCACAGA